AAGTGCAAATGTGTTTGTGGAAATAAACTACTAGCCTTTAGAATGAGAGAAGTCTTAAGACAGTGTGACAAAATGCTATTGGATGAGAGACTGCAGAGTAGGTCATAAGACAGTTTTGTGAAATAATTCTGGGCAAGTAATAGCCACAGCTCCCCCCCCCCCCCCCCCCCCCCCCCATTTTGAAGCCCTCAAGAGGGGGGTTTTGATTGCCCTTAATTGCAGTTAAACCCTAGCAGCAGTTTTAAGATTTTATGATCTCAACACTGCTGAGTAGTAGCACTATAGTTACATGCTTCTCAATTGCATGCTGAATCTGAACAATAAAGTTTTAAGACAACCTGTAACAGCTGTTTGAACTTTAGATTTTATTTATTCTAAATTTCTTTGTGTTTTTAAATTAACTTTCAAATTTATTGACATCTACTGTACTAAAGTAGATGGCTTTTCCAGAGTGCAGAGGGCTTAACAAAAATGTAACTAAGTTGGCAATATTTGTAGAAGTATTTGAGACATTTAATACAGGGTGAGTGCATGGATCATTCATTTGCATGCTGTCATTATTCCTCTTTATATTCTTCCTCCCTTCTAATCATACTTCTGCTTGAGCAAGAAGGTTGAAATGTAGCTTGTCAAATATTAAGTAGGCCCTTCTTTCAAGAAATATGACATTGTGCTTTTAACTGAAAAGTGTTGGGAATCCAGCCCACCAAACTCTTGGGTACCACTGAATGATTGTATCTGGTTTCACTGAAAATCTGGTCATTATCTTAGTAGGTTGGAAAGGACAAACTAAGAGTGGCCATTAGCTACTCTTTTTCCATTCCCTTCAATTTGCATGCTCTCTACAGGGAAGGGAGCTGGGAGGGGAGCTGCTGTAGGAACTGGTTCCAGACCCTAAGCCATAGGCAAGTGTTAGCTCCCTAGGGATTTGCACAGTGAAACCTAGTACTCATCTGAGCTCCAAAAAAGCCTGGTGGTCATGAGGACTGGGTGCACATTGTCATACACTAGTCTTATTTCCTTGCATATGGAAAAGGTGGGATGAAAGAGAAATTACTTTGTTCATCCATCTTGTTGACTTTCCATCAGTGTGATAACTGACACAAGTCATTACAGGCCATGGAGCCATAGGCTATAGGTAGAAAAAGGAGTTTTCATTCAAAAAATCAACCTTGAAGACCTAGTTATATTTATCTAATCACTGGCTCAGTACACTTAAAGTCATAAAAAGGCAGTGCTTTGGAAAGACTCCCATAACTGCCGTTGTTTATTTTGTAGTCATTTCCATTATTTGAGAAGAGGGACCAAACTCTGTAATCTAGACTTTCTCTTCTTAATGAAGTGAAGCACTTCTAGTGATGTGAGGTGTCAGGAGGGAGGTTGAAATTAACTGACTTGAGTGACAACATGCTACCAGACACAAATGGTGTACACCCTGAGGATGGGGAGCAGTCTAGACTTCTACAGGAAAAAAATCTGGGAATGCAGAGAAAACATGCTATTTCTGAACATCAAAGGATAGTGGAGTTTCTTCTGCTTAAAGATAACTGAATAAAATAACAGAAATTAAGGTCAGTCAGAAAAATTCTGTACTGTTGTCTACACTAGTATGTAGTGACCAGTAGCGCTGTCAATACGAGTATTGGAATAAAAGGCGTGTATTCTACTACTTCCCCATGATGTTCTCTAACAGTTTGCTGCTTGAGGATTTTCTGAGCCAGAGGACAACATGTATCTGTTCAATTACCTTTTTTTTTTTCATTAATTTGTCATTTGAAACTATGTAATTTTGCAATTTGGCAAAACTATACACTGTCAGGTTTTACCTGACAAGCAGGGAAATTTATCATTCAAAACAGAATAAGACATCTTCAAAATTTTAAAGCTGAAGTGAATGCTGCACAAGAAAACACTTTTTCAGTATTCTGTTACATTGATGCCAATAAAATATGTGACAGTAGCAAATAATGTAACATAAGATAAGTACATATCCAAAAGACATTCAACAAACTATTTAGAAAGAGATGAAGAATCTTTGGAAGAAATACATCTTCTTCAGCCAAAAACTGGCTTGAGTGACTCTCCTTGTTTATTCCAATTAAGTGCAGATACTGAGGGGGAGGGATTGGATGCTAATAGTTGTAGATAAGAGAAAATTTTCAATTGGTTAAATTAGAAGGATTGGGCACTAGAGCTTGTGTCATCCAGCCACCTGTCTAGAAGTCAGGTGCCCATGAAAGCGCCTCTATCATCCCTCTCAACTCGACAGGGGAGAGAAAATATAACAAAAGTCTCATGGGTTGAGATAAGGACAGTGAGAGATCATTCAGCATTTACCATGACAGGCAAAACAGACTCAAATCAGAGTAAAATAAAGAGAAAGGAAAACTAAATCTTAAAAAAATCTTCCCCCTGCCCCTCCTTTCTTCCTGGTCTTCTTCGTTTCTGATTTCTCTACTTCCTCCCCTTCAACAGAACAGTGGGATGGGGAATAGGGATTGTGGTTAGTTCATCACCTGTTGTTTCTTCCACTCCCTCCTCAGGGAGGAAGGTTTCTTGGTTTTGTGTTTTTTTGTGAACATACTTTAGATGCTTTTTTTCCCCATAAAACTTCAGAAATGGGATTTATGACCTACCTCGCAAAAAGTATTCTCAAATATCTCCAGTATCTGACTACTTTCATTACTCTTTTTATGTCACATTTTTGTAAGTTAACCATGTGCTTTGCAGCAATGTTTATGACTATAACCAACCCACCTCTTAGCCCAAGACAACTGTGGCCCCAGGCTGGAAAAATCCAGATTTAATGATTTGAGACTGGGAGATTTGTTAATACACTGAGATTATGCAGTTATGTTTATACAGTTTTTTCTGATATGGTACAGTGTTGTTTAACATACTTACACAGACTAATACCAAGACTAATTCTTGATTTATGCTTTGTAAGCTACTTGAAGGTGTTATATGGGGTGAATATGTAATTTCAGGACTCCCAGAAAACAGATCAATTTTAAAAAATTGTTTTGTGTCATTACTCATTTACATAGAATAATTTTTTACTGTCTTTTGTAAGATTAGGTGTTACAGATAGTCCCCCAAATTCTGTCATGTGTAATTTGTCCTGAGATATTAATATCCCGATATATCCACTCCTTTTCTGATTAAAGGATTTTAGTTAGGACTGCTGGAGATTGAGTTTAATGATTTCATGGTCATCTTTGTTTTACAAAGGCTAAATAAAGGGAAGAAGGGGGAAACTTGAAATTGTTCAGAAGGGAGTAACTCAATAAACTTGTACCCTTGTAATTTAAAACTGTCAACAATTAGCATTTGACCATTAATCAGCCTGGGTAGGGAAAAAAAAAATAATCAATGCAAGTACTGCCAGTTCAGTGATTTGGCATCATCTTCATAGAAAGGATCTTTTAAAGAATTATTCCAAATTAATTTTCAATGGATCTTTTTCCAAATCACGTAATTGCTCTTCATCTTTCTGTATTATTTCTTTTCGTTATTCTTTAAGTAAGCATCACCAATATCAGTTTGAAATGTTCTGGCTTGTTCAAGAAAAAAAAAAACCAACTTTCTACTAATGTGTTCTCAGAACAAAATTATGACATCCTGATGATGAAAACAACTGTGATGTAGCTTTTGAAAAGTGCCTTGAATGTTCTGAAATGTACTTTATCATAGATATCCAAGATGATCAGTCATTCTGAACTCTTTGAAGTGTGCTATCTGAGAAATGTCAGGATACAGTTAAATTATATATTTGCATACAATGTGTATAGTTAAATTATATATTAGAAACATACATCTCTTAACCCGAATTATTTCTATCAGACACACCTGCATTTTAAATGTTTAGGTATTAGTCCAGCTGTAGCTGCAGCTTGGTAACAGTCTGATCATCTGGGATCTTCTAGCAAGTGTGTGGTTTGAGGAGGTTAATTGTGTTCACCTGCCAAAGATGTTTTGTTATTTTAGCAGTTCTAAAGGGGCAAATTGCCCCAAGAAAGGAAGTGTTGTGTCTGTACTAGCTTACAGAGCTGTCTTAAGTGTGAAAAAAACACACTGAACCGTCTAAAACTATGTTGCAGTGTCTGGAGACATAACATCTTGGCCTTCTGGAAAGGCTCTTGTCTCCCTGTGGTTGATCTCTACTGTTGTCACTACTGAGCAATAAAATAGTCTGCTGTTTGGACTGGTTTCATGTAACTGGAGCAGAATTGCATCTCTGTCATTCATACAGAATTGCTTCTTGTCTGGTGGACAAATGAAAAGTTTATACTGCCACTCTTGCACATATTTTTTAATACCATTTAAAGGGGAAAGAAATAAAAAAACAGTCTATTGCCATCATCACAAATAGTTAGAAAGCTGGCCCTTGGCACTTTTTCCTACCCAGAAAGAAGAGAAAAGATGAGGAAATGTGCCCTCTTGGGTTGGCACTGCTGAGGCTTAGTCAAGTGTGGCTTTCAAACTCCCTTTATCTTTGCACCCTTCAGAACAGCATAGGCTATGTTTAAAAGATCTGCAGATGGACAAACCACAGTTCTGTTATTCTTTTCTATTCCTTCTATCATTTCATAACCAGCTTGTATCTCTTCATCCATTCATCTTTTATGAAACAGTTCTTAAAAATGTAGCATCTGCTCATGCTGAATGGGGAAAAATGTGTAGAGTGTCTCTTAAAATATCACTGTAAGTGGAAGCCTCTTCTGAAGTTAGAGCACAAGAGTTGTCTGACACAGGAAAAAAAAGTGTTTCTGATAGAAAGAACTAACCTGTGAGGTATTTTGTAGCTGCTACAGAATTTGCTGTAATTTTGTCAGTCATAGAATAATTTCAGTGTTCCATACCTGCCTTTCTCTCACTTCCTTTTCATCTATAAGAATTTTTGAGACCATTTATCATTGCTGTAGTTGGAAAAACGTTTGAGACAATCTGTATTGGGATCACTAGCCAGACACTTTCTTTTTTTTTTTTCTGTTTTGTAGGTAGTAACAGTACAATTCTGTCTCCAAGGAGAATGTACACAGTGAATCTTCCTCCGGAAGGTTACGTTGCAGTTACTTCAGATGCTATTAGTATTTCAGTTTCTGAGAACTCGGACAGTAGTGCTGACTCAACAGGTAAGTATGTATGATTGTCACTATGGTGAATTTTTCTCGAGAGAAACTTCTTAGCATTATCAAGTAGATACGAGTTGCAACAATTAAGTATTTAAACTGTTGCTGCCAGTGGGTGTCACTGTTTTGCAGCATAAGCAAAATGAGAATGTACATCTCTATGGGTTCGTTTCCATTGTTAAGAGTTTGGAGACCAGATTCAACATTTGGCTATAGCCATACAGTGTTACTGATCATACAGAAGTTATGTGAAGTGTAATTGAGGACAAAGTCTACAGCTCCTCCCACTCACGTGCCGCGTGTATATTCATATTAGGCCTGTTTACAGTCATTTTAAAGAGTAAATGTCAGATTAAGCTGTTTTAATAATCTTACCTCTGATGTTCTGAGAAGTTGGGCAAAGACTTAATGACCTTTCAAATTTACCTCTCCTGATTAGAATAGACGTTCACCTGATAGGAGTTGGGGGGGAGATAGCAGTCCTTTAGCACTGAGGAGCTTTCTGATGAGAAACTGTGATGAGGTAACTTCAGAACCAATATTTAATGTTGTCAAAGAATACAAGAGAAGAAGCATAGATCTGTGAAGAAGCAGGCTCTAAGTTGTCCTCAGTTAAAGTCATGGTTTTCTGAATGACGTTGCTAGAAATAAATTGATTTTGGTTTAGAAAGAAGTCTTAAGCTTAGATAAGACAAATTCATTTAGTTTTGTAAATTGCTGGAGATGTATGTTTGTCCTAAATTCTGTATCACACTCATTTGCTGCTAGTGGCATTCTACAGCCAAGAAAATACCCAGGTGAGCCTGATGAAGTAAAACACTTGATGAGCAGTTGTTTATTAAACTACTCTACAAACCTATTTCAGCCTAGAGCTGCCTAAATGTAAGGAAAACCTGAGATTCGATCTGCAGATACAGAAGGGCAAATGCTCCCTGCCTTTGAAAACAGTACCCATAGGGGTGAATTGCAGGCTTGGAAATTGGGTCTGCATTCTATTCTGAGATCTGCTCAGAATCTAAATGCAAGTAAAACTATCAAAGTAGTCCGAGAGACTGAAACAAAGTACAGCATGAGTGGTGGCACATCAAGAATGTTCATTCTTGGTGTGAAATGGTTTAAAGACATTTTTTGGATTGGAGAAGAAATAAATTTGTCAGAGTAACATAACAGTAGATCTCAATACTGTTGGGATTATAGATAGAAAGGTGTTCTAATAAACAGGTTCCAGGTTGTGCTTTTCTCTTTATGTTAGATAGGATTAATGTTCAGAATCCAGAGTCTGTTTCTAGACTATCTTTAAATTTATTTAGTTACACAGTTCTCTTTGGACAGTTCATTGGGTTTCTGTTTCCCAGCATGTCAGATTCAAGCTGCTTTTCCTGATAATCGAAGCACCATTTCTCTCCCTCCATGCCATATAATCTCTTGTTCATTCTTTGATGTGATCTCCCTTCAGATATTAGAGGGACATTTCCCTTCTGTATTTTGTTAACAAGCCCAGATGAAGTCTCATAATACTTTGTAGGTAAATAGACCCACTTTTATACAGACACTTAAGTGACTTCTAAATAAAACATTAGAATGCAGGCTTCTGAACACTACTGCAATTGAGATATATCATTGTTAGAGGCATCAACCCAGAATTTTTGTGGTAAATTTACTCAGCTGCTGTTTAAAATCTATAAGTAAATCAATATATAGTGTATATTAGATGTTGATATATTGCATATCAGTAAAGTAGAAAAGAATTAGGATTGCCTTATATTGTCCCTTTTTAGGGTCATATAAATATTCATCTGGTAGATTATCGAACAATGGCTTTACTTGTTCATTTTTTAGATTTAATTTTTTCCTCTGGTATTTCAAAACAAACATACTCAACCACGATAGCAGTAAGTAATGTTCTGGTGTTGCTTAGTGACAGTATTGACTGTTGAATGGTGATGTCTTTTAGCTAATCCCAGTCTCAGTGTTCAGGAAGAGTAGGTTTTGGACTTTAGCCACTTTTTTAACAGTTTTAACAGTTAAAAAATGCGTCTGGAATTTTGGGAGACATTTTTTGATTGGTTTGTTACCTGACTTTATAGTTTATCATGGAATCAAGAAAAATTAAGTTTGAAGTGATCTTTGGAGGTTTTTAATCCATGTTTTCTTTGCAAGGTACGTTTGACTATAAATGTCATTCTTACAAGGTATTTGCCTAATTTGTTCTTAAAAACCTCCCCATAGGGAGATTTTTCTTACATGCCCTTTTCCATTTGCTTTAATGTTTCACTACCCTTTAATGCTAGATCTTTCTTGCTGCAGTTTAAGGCCCTTGTTATTTTTTCTGTCTAAAAACGGATTGTAGAATTAGATCTGTGCGAATCTGCAAGGTTGAGGGACATGGTTAACTTTACTCATGTGTATGTCTTTTATAGTATTTAACTAAACATATACATAAATTACAGGATGAAGGCTCTGATTTCAGGCAGTGCTCATAAAATATAAAAGAAAGTTTAGAGAATCCCCCCAATGGATTATTTAGTTTGCTCACTTAGATTTAGTTGTATATCCTTTATTTGGATCTTTTTTTGAAAGGATAAAGGAAAGCTTCAATGAGAGAGCCTGTGACGCTGAAGAAGAAAGAAGCATGCATATCTGTATGTACACACATTCTATATATATAAAATAAATCTGTTTTGTTTAGAAATGCCTCAGGTATTCCCAAAGAACCAGTACTATAAGGTGGAAATGCAGGTCTAGTGTTGCATTGTTTTACTCCTAATACTATCTATATGATATATTTTGAAGGGCAGCAGGCTATCTTCTGCTGTTTCCTAAAAAGTGGAGCATATTGTATATATGCTAGGTAACTAAAGGCTGCCTTGCTAGCCTTTGGACCTGAAAGTAAGGGAAATAAACTCTGTGGAAATTCAAACAGAAACCTGACTCAGAAAATAATTTCATTGTTTATCAAACCTTCTCATGAAAATAATCTGACCATTTTTGGGGATTAAAATGTTTTAGTTGTAATTCAGTTATACATCAGTGTGATCTGTCACATCTTTTCAGTAAATTAAGAAAACCAAATTCATATCTTTCTGAATTAACAAGATTATCAAGAGGAATCGATATGCCATGGCTGATTTTTCATTGTGTTAAATTAATCCGTGGAAGAATGAAATATTCAATCACTAGAATATGAATTTAGACATGATCCTTATTTTTAGAAATTATTTAAAGTTGAAGTTAGTTACAATTATAAATTAAAATAATTTCTTGTCAGCTCTAAGATATGTTTGGGTTTGTCCATTATTATTGTTCTTTAAACTAGTAGTTACGTTATGGTTGATGCTGTTAGAATGAAATTAATCTTGTCTAGACTAGCTTCTGAACAAGAAAAAAAAAAAGCAAAGCAGGTTTGTGTGAATCTTTCAGTGTGTCTTTTTCCGTCTGTCTCTGCATGTTGTTCTTAGCACCTCAAATAATTTTTCAAATACTTTTAACACTGTTGTGTCAAATTGTGATCAGTTATGCCCTTAACATTATGTAGTCACCTTGTGATGCATGGCATTGGGACTTAAAATTTTGTGAAGCATCTTGGCTTTCTTATTAATTCTCTTTTACATTTCACAGAAGTGGGAGGGAATAAAGCTGCTCTTTCAAGTTTGTTTTCTTCATTTAAACAGGTCATTGGTGAGCCTGTGTTAATGGGAAGAAAAATGTAAGAGTGCCTTGTCTTTCAAGAAAATAATGAAAAATAAATTTATCCAACTTTCTTAGAATAATATATTAGACTTAGGTGTCTAATTTTTAAAAACTCCCTTGACTGTTTTGGAGGAATTGAGTCACTGTGATGGTGTAATCATGTCAGCCTTCCATTGACTGAAGAGTAATAGAAATCAGACAGTTAAGGGAGGAAATAATGCAGAGAATTTATTTTGGTTTTCACATGATTTTCATATTGACTTGGGTATATATTAATGCATTTCTAACTTTCTTCTGGCAATAGACTTTATACTTTTGACAAGGGCATTAAAAATGGGTAATGTTTAAGTGACAGATAAGTCATTCATCAAATTCTGGTCATAAACTTAATATCCTCATAGCTTAAAGTTCATAAATCAGAGATCAAAATTAATTTATTTCTATTATCTATAGAAATACCGGAGAGATACACCATCACATTTAAAAGGGTGTTCTATATGAAAGGAAAATCCAGGGAACTTAATTATGTGTTCATTACTAGGAAGTGGTAGCTTAGTTTTGATTGGGTTTGGATTTTAGTTTCATAAGACAAAGTTAAATTGTGGAGTTCTTGCATCTTATTTTAAGACAGGTGAAACAATAGGAAATACTATATCTTGCATTAAAATATGAAGGCTAAAAATGTAACCTTATTCCTTCTAAAAGATAAACATTTTATTTCTTCATCAATGTTTCTTGGATTCTCTAAGATAGAATAATAAAATATAAAATTATTTTATTTGTGCACAAAAGTGTGCTGGATTATAATTTTTCCCTGAAGTGCTTTAATATTAAATCCGTATTTTTATGTAGAGTCGCAAAGTGGTATTTTGTGTTTCTTAGAATCATGGCAGACGAAATTCCTGACCTAGACTCTGTGGAAAATAAAAAAGACTGTGCACATAGGTGTTCAGGAATATGTAGTAGTTGAGAGCACCTGAAAGAATAAATAGATGAAGATAATTCAAAGTGTTCCTAAGGTATTATTTTTAATTTCGTAACCCATTCTTTTTGTTCTTGTCAAGTCTCACTCATTTTTTCCTTCATATGTTTGAACCACAATGCAGAATTCATCTGATAATATCCTGTTGTTACTATCTTGATAACAAGCTACTCAGTTTTGGTGAATCCCTTCGTATAGACAAAAGGAGCAAGACCTAACTGCGCTTTATCCTGACTTCTAATGCGTACGTTATGAGACAGAATTCTAGCTAGGAGGAAGAGTCCAGTCTGGATGCTCCATTCCCATGCTGAGAAGTCAAGTTAGAGAAATT